CCTACTATTGCTCCTACTATTACTCCTACTATTACTCCTACTTCTGCTATTACTCCTACTCCTGCTATTACTCTACTTCTACTCCTACTATTACTCCTACTCCTGCTATTACTCCTACTATTACTCTTTCTCCTACTCCTGCTATTACTCCTACTCCTACTATTACTCCTACTCCTACTATTACTCCTACTCCTACTATTACTCCTACTCCTGCCATTACTGCTACTCCTGCCATTACTCCTACTCCTACTATTACTCCTACTCCTACTATTACTCCTACTCCTGCTATTACTCCTACTATTACTCCTTCTCCTACTCCTGCTATTACTCCTACTCCTGCTATTACTCCTACTCCTGCTATTACTCCTACTCCTACTATTACTCCTACTCCTACTATTACTCCTACTCCTGCTATTACTTCTACTCCTACTATTACTCCTACACTTGCTATTACTCCTACTATTACTCCTACTATTACTCCTTCTCCTACTCCTACTATTACTCCTTCTCCTACTCCTGCTATTACTCCTACTCCTGCTATTACTCCTACTCCTGCTATTACTCCTACTCCTACTATTACTCCTACTCCTACTATTACTCCTACTCCTGCTATTACTTCTACTCCTGCTATTACTCCTACTATTACTCCTTCTCCTACTCCTGCTATTACTCCTACTCCTGCTATTACTCCTACTTCTGCTATTACTCCTACTCCTGCTATTACTCCTACTCCTGCTATTACTCCTACTCCTGCTATTACTCCTACTCCTCCTGCTATTACTCCTACTTACTCCTACTCCTGCTATTACTCCTACTCCTGCTATTACTCCTACTCCTGCTATTACTCCTACTCCTACTCCTACTCCTGCTATTACTCCTACTCCTGCTATTACTTACTCTACTATTACTCTACTCCTTCTCCTACTCCTGCTATTACTCCTGCTATTACTCTACTCCTGCTATTACTCCTACTCCTGCTATTACTCCTACTCCTGCTATTACTCCTACTCCTGCTATTACTCCTACTCCTGCTATTACTCCTACTTCTGCCATTACTCCTACTTCTGCCATTACTCCTACTTCTGCTATTACTCCTACTCCTGCTATTACTCCTACTCCTGCTATTACTCCTACTATTACTCCTTCTCCTACTCCTGCTATTACTCCTACTCCTGCTATTACTCCTACTATTACTCCTTCTCCTACTCCTGCTATTACTCCTACTCCTGCTATTACTCCTACTCCTGCCATTACTCCTCCTCCTGCTATTACTCCTACTCCTGCTATTACTCCTACTCCTGCTATTACTCCTACTCCTGCTATTACTCCTACTCCTGCTATTACTCCTACTACTCTTACTACTATTACTCCTATTCCTCCTACTCCTCTTACTATTACTCCTCCTCCTCCTCCCCCCCCTCCCCCTACTCCCCCTACTTCAACTCCTCCTATTACTAAAGTGAAAAAACAAACTTGGAAAATGCTAAAATACTTCAAAGTAGTGTTGTCAAAAGTATTGAAATACTAACTGATACTAAAACTAGATACTCATTTGAGAAAGTATTGATACTAAGGAAGTCATAAAGTATTAAAAGTCATAGGACAGAAATGAACCTTTCCTGAATGTCTATAGAATGATGTTGAGCTGTATAAGAGCACATAGACTAGTATACACCTATGGACCACTATGGAACCTACTGGACCACTGAGGGATTACACAGATAATAATATAAAAGAAAGTACTATGATTGTATGCTGAAAATACAGTTTTTTACTGAAAATAAGTTTTTTTTTATTTTTCATTGTGGTATCAGTATTGAGAATGGAGTCTATTCCCTCGTATCAAAATAAGAGTTTGAAATTTTAGTATCGTGACACCATGATTACACAGGTACAGACAAAATATAATTCTGGTGCTTTGTGATATCTATTATGTATATTACACCATTAAAACCTCTCAATAGTTGTGCACTTCATAGGACCATAGTATAGGATCATTTGAAGGACGACTAAATGAAGCAATCGTAAAAGATTATTTTAAAACAGAAATTTAAAATATGGCTATACCTTACTAGGGCTGGGGATTACAAGGCCCCTCACGATTCGATACACGATACGATATTATCATGATATTGCGATACATGCAATAATCAATACATTGCCCATGATACTGGATTTTAGGAACCAAAAACTTTAGCAACAATATTTCTTTGTTAAACCGCTACATATGCAAAGTTACATGAAATACATCTAATTTGAATACATCTAATTTGAAGAATTGACAATAAACTTTTTGAGTTTGAATTTGAAACAAGTTTCCTTCCTATAAATAAGCAGCAAAATAGTCATGCTGTCACAAAAAAAAAAATGCTAAAAGATAATAAATACTCTAGGTGATACAGCAATACAGCAGGCCACGATAACAATACTGTTCTGCCATATTTAGTATCATGATATATCGATTTTTTTATCTTTTTGCACATACCTACGTACTAGTTTTGGTTGTTATTTCTTAGCGTAGATACACTGCTCACTATCTACATTGTGTTCTGGTTGCCACATGATCATAATTGTTCCAAAGCCCAATGTTCTCTCGGTTAAAATTACACTCATTAACAACCAGCATTAACATTCAAGATGGCCCCTCATTGTGCCGGGTCTCCAGTAGCAACCACATGGAGACGCAATGTCCTTGGCCCCTCCCCCTGAGCTGAGAGGTGGGCTCGAGATGGGACCACTTCCTCTGGGCGTGGGGCCATGGTCTTACTCACCGGCAAACACACAAAACTACAAGCTGCTAAAGATTCAGAGCACAGATCACTGCTTTTGTGGTCAAAGTGAAACGCGTGAAACGTTCTGAGGTAATGTGAGGTGCTCTTATCCATCTCTGCTGTGGGAAGGATGGGACAAAGTGTAACCGCCAACGTAAGAGACTGCATTTAGATTTTGTAGATTTTAGAAAAGTTCTTGAAGTTACATTCTTATTAGTGTTGTCACAATACTACAACTTCAAACTAGACTGTCACAATAATTACTAGGGATGGGACGACATACAAGTTCCACAAGATGAGACGACATATGAGACTGGGCCCAAAAGCACGAGACGAGATTTTAAAATAATTCCTAAAACATACATTTCACGATTCGATTTCCAGTTTTGGCGTCACATTTCTTTTCTTTGATTTCATATTTTTGTTTTCATTCTAGTACTTGTTTTGGAACTGTAAAAGATGTAACTCACCAATACTTAATCGTTTTTGGTCCAATCCAAATGTGAACACTTGGAAAAAAAATCTCACACGAGATAATTTTTCCCATGTGCACACAATCTTGTGAAAATTTTGTCTCACAAGATCTTGTGGCATGAGATTTTATACCATCCCTAATAATTACTATATTGACTCAATATAGTAAATATACAAAGGTTGGAACACAATTTTTTGGGGTCAGTAGTTATCATGTGTACATTTTCTTTGCTATTTTTTGGCTATATGACCAGTTTTAAGATGTAAAAAGTTGAATTAACAATTTCTAAGACTCATTACGCATGCAAACTAACTACTACCGTTTTATTCTGCTGTTTATTTTAAATGTAGAAAAGCTGCAATAAACAGTTTTTGTGGTTTAAATCTGCTCCTGGTTTACTGTGTGAATGGCATACATTAGTTTCATTATCACTGTTTATCATCTATATTTACTTACAGCAATATATTGAACTTCAAAATGTGTTATCGTGGCAGGCCTATTTCAAACTCCATTTTGATGCTAAGGAATAGACCCAATACTTAATACCAATTCTGATGTCTAATACCACAATGATAATTTAAAAAGCACTCTTTATTTAAACAGTAGAATGCAATTTTCAACATTAAATAATAGTACTTTCTTCATGTAGTCTTGTGTCAGTGTAATCCTTTGTCGTTCGGGTAGGTACCATAGTGGTCTATGGATGTTTACTAGTCTATGTGATCTTAAAAATTCATTTCTGTCTTGTATGAATGTGACTTGTTGTAGTATTGATACCTGCTCAAATGAATATACTAGTTTTAGTATCGATTAACATCTGGTTTTCGATACTTCTGACAACCCTAATTCTTGTATTCTGATTTATGTAATGGGCTAGGGCTGTAGAATCGATTTAATTTTAATAGTCAATGATCCGTTAGGGTCGACAGCCAATCCTATGTCAGTAAAAGCATGCGGTGTGGAGCAAACAGAATGTTGGGTGGCTGCCTTTAGTGGCCACTGAAGTACTATATGACATCACACAGGACTGCCCTGAATAAAACCAGGTGTTTCTGATGTAACAATAACCATCAAAAGTCACAATAATATCGTGGACCATCACAATACATCGAATTACAAGTCTCTTCGCTTAAATTAATAGTTACGTTGCATCATTAGCTAAAAAGACAGAGGGAACTACAAAGACCATGAGCCTCTGCTCCATTTCAGCGCAGACTATATGAAGAAGAAAAAAAAGAGAACCTGTTCTAAGCACTTTTAAGTCTTAGCTCTTTGTGTTTAATCATGTCAAGGCATTTTAAGAGGAAAAAGTAGTACATTCACAGTTTTGTTAGCCTCCAAAAAATACTGCAATAAATATCGTGAAAATATCGTACATAGTTTAGCGGCTCTATAATGTTTTGGTGTTTTGTCCCACTTTAATTCATAATGACCTTTTTTATTTGAATGAGAATGATTCAGAGATGACAGTGATTCAGGCTTAGTAACTATTTAGTCAAAACCTTTAAGTATTTACTAAGCCTGAATCATTCTTAATAAACTATTTGGTATGGGTTTTTTTTGGTTTTTTTTGGTTTCTACAGGCTAATTAAAGTGTAGTTATTATAAATCGTTACCATTTATTAGCCATTTCACTCAGCCCTAGAAGAACGGCCTGAAAGGAAGCCATTTTGTCAGAATTAAAACAGAGATGGTAAACTCACCTGACCACAAAACAAAAAGCCCTGTCTGTTACTTGACGGTTGTGGACGTACCTTGAGGCTAGTGTTGGAGCGCGTGTGACTGAGGTTGTTGTATCTCCACAGTTCGGCCGCGTCCTCTGGCTGTCTGTGGGGGTCAGGGGTCACGCCGTCTGGTGCAGGAAGCTGGAACAGGCCGATGGAGATGGGACGCTCCCTCCTGTATTCAAGCAAAAACAAATGAATATGTTATGTTGAAATTATGTCAAAAAACAGATAGCTTTTGTGTGAGCTGTAGTTTATCTGAAATCACAACAGTGAGCATCAAAATCTTCTTATTGAGATGGTTCATTTTAAATTATTAATAAGCTTGAGGGACAGTATCCCATTGGTTTCATAGCAGAGAAAACGAGAACTGTTATGTATAGAAATGAATGAAAAATCCCAAGTTATTACATTTCAACCACTTTTATTCAGTACATGATATACTTTACTTAAGGACTGCTCGTTTATGAAAAAATTATGATGTATTTACTCAGCATTTCTCTCCCCCCCAAAAAACCCACTTTGTTATTGATAATTTATGCAAAACTTTCAAAATAAATTAATATAGACTACAAATATGTACCTTAGAGCAGTTTTGTGATGTATAAAACATAAAATGAATAAAATATACTGTGAACATGAAATAAGGCATAGAAAAACATAAATTTACCCAAAATAAACTATATATCCAGCTGTTCTACAATCTCTATATTTAAAAAACAACACAATTATATGAGTTTGGAGATTGTTTGACACACAAATCGAAATTGCAATCAAAATTAAATCAAGATTAATTGTACAGCCTTACTTTATTTCTGGATATAGTGCTATTATTTTTAAGTTTTGTGGATTTATTTATGAAAGTAAAATAACACTACCCACACATCAACCCTGACTGTAGGTATAGCATTCCTAATGCTGTACAGTGCAGGAGAACAATAGCTTCCATAGAGACACAGGGTTAGCAGCCGGCAGCCCAAAACAATGGACACTACCATACTGAGAGCAGAGGGCACAGCCTGGACACTGCACACAGGCTTATTTACCTCTTCATTTACGAGGAAAAGTACAGTATACAGGCCAATAATTGGGGTTTAAAGGGACTAAATAGTAGGTAAACATGACACAAGATAACTGAATGACTTAAGAAGAGTTAACCCAGGGCTTTCGTACTCCAGAAGTAGTACAACCAAGGCACTATCCTCATCTTGCAGTGAATATTAAAATGGTAGGCTTAAGCAGGATGATCTAATGCTCCATCTCCTTTTGACATTATATAGAAGCATACGTGGCATGATGAGATGCTGTTTTGTAAGGGTTCAGTTGCTTAGGATAAACAAATACTATTATTATATGTTATTAAGTTCTTTTTTCAGACCAAGAGTTTGTTTTTATACCTGACAGTTTCGACTGCTTAGTAGCGGTCTTCCTCAGAGGGGTCACATGACGTTGCTGTGACGTGTCCAGTGAGCTGACGGGACACAACAACACAGTCACAACACGGTCACAGCAACATCACGCGACCGCTATGAGGAAGACCGCTACTAAGCAGTCGAAACTGTCAGGTATAAAAACAAACTCTTAGTCTGAAAAAAGATCCCAAAAACATAAATTATGATGAAGATGAAATGAACCTTATTGAACAAATACTAGTAGTTTTCGAATGCATAAGAATTACATACTGAGTTTTCAACGTCTACTGCTGTAAATGTCTAGTAGTGAGCCAGTATTACCAGGACTACATGCTATTCTAATATTAAACAAAGATGTATAGTCTGACTCAGCATCGGTTTTATATTCTAGACTCCCAATGAGCATGATTGAGAGGCAATTTCACTAATCAGAGAAACCCGTGTGCCATTCATATCAAAACAAACGCACGGCAGCTTACGAGTCATTTGACCTCCTTAACGCTCCGGGTCCCGCCCACTGAGAAAGTCATGGACGATCAATTTCCCATCATGAGGTAAATCAAGCACTGCAGTCGATGTAAAACCATATAAAACCAATTCCACTGCATTATAAGCAAAGAAAAGCAAACAGAGGACTGAAAAACATAGATGAGGATTGACAAAGTATGGATATTAGGAAAAGTATACAGTAGTTAAAGTGTATTTACAATAACACAGGTATTGTTTACTGGTAAATGAACGACAAATGAACAAGTAGTAGACCTGAGAAAATATCTAAACAAATCTGAATAAAGCATAATAACAATGAAGACACTAACTCAAATGCAATCACTTTTTTGTCCTACTTTTCGCATGTAGCATCAGAACAGTACATCCACTCTCCAGCTGGGCACATGGGTGCAGACAAGCATAACAACCCCAGTACCTGGTGCTGGTGCTGGGTCTGGGCAGAGAGGGCAGAGAGGGCAGTGCGGGCAGACTTCCAGTAGACACAGAGTAGTGCACGAGCAGCAGCACAGACAGAGACACCAGCACGGCCGAGTTCACCACCACGGCACTGCCCACGAAGCCGAACACGAACAGCAGCATGCACCCGGGGTTCATGTCCGTGGGTTAGGCAGGCTCCGGGGGTCCCTACATGAAGGCTGAGCGGACGGGAGAGGGTCTGCAGGAGGAGGGGCTTTGTGTCGTGCGCTAGTCAGATAGATCCGTAGATTTGGGAGAGCTAGCATGGAGCGCAGTTTTGCTCATGTGCAGGTGATGAGAGCGCTCTGGTGCTGTGCGGTCTAGAATGCACGAGAGACACTCCCCCCTCGCTCCGTCAGACCCCCTCCCCTGTCTCATGCTGCTGACGCTCACTCTCCTCTCTCGCTCCATCCCTCCCTCTCTCTCTCTTCTTTTAAAGGAACTGGCTCATTCAAAAAGTGGCACCTTGCTTTGTTGTGCTTTCTGTTTGAACATTTAGATTTCATGACAGGTGCTGGCAAAAGAGGGAAGTGAAACAGCATGGAGGCTATCCACATGATCCAAACAGTACACCTTGTTATTATATGCACTACTTGAGAATTTCAGCTGTCCTTAGGATTATGATCCATGCTTCACAAATATGCCTTTTTTAAGAAACAAGCAGCTCTGTCATAAGTTAATATATAATGTAACTTCTCAGAAGTTAAGCAAGGCCGGGCCTGGTTATACAGGGACAGGAGACAGCTGAGAATACCAGATGCCACAGTGGAGCAACAGTGGCTCCCGTGCGAACTGTTGTTGTGTCTTTAGGCGAAACTCTTCACCCACATTGAGCCTAGTATGATACTAGTGGTGTGAGGATGAGTGTCGGTGGTGGTCGGACAGGATTATGGCACAGATTGGCAGCCTCACTTCTGTCAGTCTGCCCCAGGGCTACAATAGTATCTTACCACAGACTATTGGAGTGAATAAAGTGCAGTAGTAGTTGTTTTTATTCAGTCATTTTGCAGCACTACAAAACAAAATTTACCACAAAATCCAAGAATCATGACTGAAAGAGTTTAGGCTGAAGTAAAAAGTACTTATAATGCCAAAAAATAACAGAATTCCAAGAAAGAAAGTAGTGTATGAACAGCAAGTTTGCATTTACAATTTCACTTATACTTATACTTTCACATATATAAGAGACAAAATAGAAATTAAAATAAACAAAATATAATGCATAACTCATTGATTCCAGAACTCTATATCTTTCAAAACATAACGCTTTATACTCTTTTTTTTAAAGGCTTCTATGGTGTTAGACTTTTTTAAAATCATCATGCAGATTGTATTTCTGTTAAAGGAGTTGGTGTATGGAACAATCACTTTTTTTTTAGTTCTTATCTTCATTTTTTAAAGATGTCAGTTTTGTTTCCATTCATGGTCCCACAAACCAACAATAATGACAAAGAAGGCAAAAAATTCATCATCCACGATCGCACCAAAACAAAAGGCAATGTCATAAATAAATAAAGCACAGTAAAGTTCTTTGGTTGTCATGAAAGGTGCAATATAAATCCAACACATTCTAAATTATAATTATTTTTTTTCTAATTAATACCAAACCAGAATAAACCTTGACCAAAGAGAGAGTACACTTACGCCTAAATTAAGAGCATGAAGACTAGGTTGCCTGAAAGCAACTTGAGTGTATAGACTGCAGTTACATAGGAGACATATTGGATTTATGGCCACATATTAATGAGCCCTGGGTCAGACTTGAAAAAAAATTGTTATTAAGTTGTTCATACCGACATAAAAAAAAAATTTAATAGATAGAGGTCAAATATGGGTAAAAAAAACATAGCCTAAAACCTGACTACTTATGTGTATGTGTGTGTCTAATCTCACCTTGTCTTTGTGGGACCAGACTCTGTGGGCTCTGGGGCAGGTCCATGCAGATGTTTAGTCCTCTCCAAGTGCTCCATGTAACTGTGGATCATCTGACGCACAAACACACAATCACACGTCAGGTTCCATGCTTCTTGGAGACATTGCATTGACTCACATTCATTACCTAAAGACTGATCCCAACCTTAACCAAAGTCACTCTTTGCCCACCCTCAACGTTAAAATCTATGTCACCTACATCTGAACTTGAAATCATCTCATGGGTCTAATAATAAAGGTTCTAGGAACAGCTTTGTTTTTCCTTTATTTAGTCTTCATACTGGTTGTGTTTTACTGTTGTTAATGACTGCAGAGCCACAGTGTTTTGATGTGCACTTGTGTTCCATGTTCTTGTCATGCCTGCTCCTCACAGCTGCCTCTGACACACCAGAATAGAGAGCTTTTATTAGCCTCATCTCCTCCAGTGATATTCAAAAACACAGCAGCTGTCTGAGGAAGACTTCACATGTCCGTTTGCGACGCACTCCTCAAATCTCTCAAATGCTTACTACAAACCACACTTTTGATTCCAATAAAACCAAAATCAATTGCTGGATTGAGTCAGAAACCACAGAAGCCAACTTTTAGCATTGCCAAAAAAGATAACTAGACTAATCAGATAACCCAATAATATGATTTGATTTTGGTGTGGGTTTAAAAGCAAAAGATTTTTGGAGGATGTATGCTGTATTGCTGTATTTGAAAGACAAAGTACAATGAATTTTAAAATAACTTTCAGTCTTTAAAGCTGCACTATGTATCTTTTCTGGTGAATTATTTTCAGCCATTTGCCTGTTTTTATGGAGAAGGCGATGTTATTCCATTTGCCTGGAATGTTCCATAGTATGGCATTAAACTATGCCAATCAATCTCTATGGAGACAAGCAGGTCTCTCAGTTAGGCCAAATTACGCGTCAAATCAGTGAAGAACTCACTATAAGAATACACCTTTTAAAGTTTTTTTTCTGAACAACAAAAAAGCCTGTACTGTATTTTTCGATATTTATAAGGCACACTTAAAATCCTTAAATTTACTCAAAAATTGACAGTGCGCCTTACAATTCGGTGCACCTTATGTGTTTACTGACTTCAAATAGATTTTATGTGGTACACAGCGCTCAAAAATCTGTCAAAATGTTTTAGTACGACTTTGGTAAGCTACAAAGCTGCACCGCTTGATGGATTGTCTGCGCATTACGGCTCCTGTAGTCAGGAGCCTTGCGGAGTTAGTCTGGCAGAAGCTGAACTGCATCAGCACACAACTAGCAAGCTGTTTTTTCAGCGCTTATAGTTTAAGAAAATTACTCAATGTATATTTGAGTCGTCCTCGTAGGAAATAAAAAAAAACACTTACATGATCCACCCACATTCACATTCATAATCCACATTCACCAAGACAGAGAGGCAACGAGTTACGTCACGATCTGCCAATGGATCGTAGATGCTTAGACTAAGGATCAGTCTCAAGTGTCGTCTGTTTGTTTCACTTTATGCAATTTATAATCTGGTGCACTTTATGTATGAAACTAGACAAGAGAATTCAACATTATTGATATTACGCCTTATAATCCAGTGTGCCTTATGGTCTCAAATATACGGTAAATAAATACAGGAATATAAGTTACAATAAAATATGCAATAAGTTTAAAAGGTCCTATATTACACAAAATAGACATGACAGAATGTTGTTATCTCTGCAAAAACATAACTGGAGCTGTGTTTTGTTTCATTCTCACATGTTTGAGTAATCCTTCATTATTATCTGCCAAAGCTCATAATGCTCTTTTCTACCTTGTGATGTCATATAGTGGTAATTTTCAAGTTAATATCTTCATTTTGTTCAGCGGAGACGGGCAGTTCCAGGGCTGAAAACATCCAACTGAGTCTAGTTAAGGTGTATGGAGTTCAAAAACACAGTGGAACACTTCTTGTATCACCACATAGCATCACACGGTGGAACACGGCAATTTCCAATTGAAGAAAAACTCTGCTTAAATATGCAGGATTTGTGAGCGAAACAAAACACAACTCCAGGTAAAATGACATTCTGTTATATTACTGGTGTTGCAGCCGTCTTACCTCTGTGTGTCTCTGGTGAAGTGCATTATACTCTTTCTTGAGCTCCGCCTCTCTCTCCTCAAATCTGCTGACTGCAAAGAGACAAAAAAAAGATAAGAATCACATTTAAATTCAAACAAGAATCAGTGCTCTAATTCAAAAAATGAGTTGCAACTTCACTTAAGAACCACAAGAGGGCCTCCAAGCGTCAAGAAAACAGCCAAGATTTAAAGAAACTTCTTATTAAGTCAAATGAATTCAAAGAAGTCATATTATTAAATTCGCCAACATTTAGTGAGTTTTATAAAATCTAGCACTTACTAAGAATACATAGTAGTTATTTTACCAACAGCTGTGCACAATGATGATGAAAACCAAAATGTAAAAAGTATTAAAAGACATGAAAGGGGAACTCAGGGGGAAAAGTAGAAATTGGAAAATTAAGAGGAAGTGAAGCCTGTGTACAGTAATAATGGCGATAAGATTATGACAGCTAAAACATAAAAAAAGGCTTTAAAAGTTCTGTTTTATCCCTAATTTAGTGTAGTTTTGATGTTGGTTCATAGTTAAGTTTTTATTTTGAAACATTCCACGTTTTTCGTTTAAGTGCGTTCAAAGGTACAGCATTTAATGTTCTGGAGTTGTCTTGTCACCTGCTTGTTTCCATTTAAATAGAAAGTTAGATTATTTTTAGGATTGGGACGAGACGCAATTTTCACGAGACGAGACGCACCATGAGATCGGGTCCACAAGAACGAAACAAGACAAGATTTTGACATCATTCGTAATAAATAATAACAATAATAATGAAGTACAATCCATTTCACAATTTTGGCTTTTTACTACTACTTTTTTTAACTACAGCTTCTTAAATTACCAGCTCTTAACTCTTTCTGACCAAGCCAAAGGTAAAGTCAGGACAAAGAAATCTCACAAGGTCATTTTTCTCATGTGTGCACAATCTTGTGGCAATTTTGTCTCGTGAGATCTTAATTTCTATATAAAAACAAGTACATTATGTAGAAATACTTTAGAACATTCTCCATGGTGATAGACATTAATTGATTGATCAATGTATTTCGGTCATTATTCCACAGTCAGTCATATTTATTATACACATACGGAAAAGGTGTAGGCTGAAGTTTGAGCTCATTACGTCCACCCTTTATTCCTTTGTCAGAGCATCATCTTATAACCAGTATCTGCCCTGAGTTAAACATTTAAACTTCTGGAAGAGTGGTACACAGTTTTAGGTCTTCTGTACAATTGTTCTAGAGCTCCGCCCCTTTAACAGATTTACAAAATTTCATAATGTTTGTTCTGGTTTTTCGATTTTTGATAAACGTGGCTGTACCTCTGAGCTCATATTGATTGGCTATTTTGGATTTTAAACATATTCTGTAGTGATTTTGACTAGGGGTGTGCAAAAATATTGAAATATCGATATATTGTGTTGTTTAATATAATGATACAGTATCGATATCGGAGGCTGTTGTATCAATATATCGTCAACAGTATTTTTTTGGTATATTTTACAAAATAATTTTTTTACAGCTCTACAGTTTTGTTGCTTTTTCAGACAAAGGAAACTCGTTTATGTGACACATTTGACATTTTCACTGTTTTGATGATTAAAATGTTTGTGTTTCATATGAACTTTGCACAAAACGTGGTTTAACAAAGACTTTTAGTATCACAGCCACGATTAAGCCTTTATTTTTTAGTGTACAGTATCAAATCGATTAGAAATATATCTTATCGAATCAAAAGCTCACTGTATGGAGATATGTATCGTATCGTGGCCTATGTATCGAGGTATGTATTGTATCGGTAATTTCTTAATGATACTCAGCCCTAATTTTGACTTTGACTGATGATTGATTGTTGATTGTTGTAAAAGTTTGAAAGTGTATAAATAATGCATTGGTTAGTTCATTAGAAGTTGATAATGTGATTGCTCTTTTTGGATTTGTGTTAGTCTGAAGGTGACACTTTAGTTTAGGGACCACCTATTATTCTCTAACTAAGTGGTAATTTGCATGCTAATTAACTCTTACTTCGCTGTTAGCTAGTATTTACTTAGTAATGCTTATTAAGATTTCAGTGTATCAGTGTAGATATAATATCGTCTGAATATTGTAATCAGGATACATGAAAAAGTACTCCCCTACCTTTGATCGCTACTCTCACTTCAAAAATTCCCAACAATGTTTAATATCCAGATCAAGATTTAGGGAAAATGTCATACTGCAGGTTTTGTGGCAAGCATTGTGATTGTGATTAGATGTATGTTTTAATAATAGGATTCTGTTCAAAGTTCACATGTCTAGAAGAACAGACAAAAAGACTCAAATATCAACTGGTGAACAAATAGAAGAATCACATTTCAGAGTGTGTTTGTGCAGACCTAAACTACAGGGCCAGCACATTTCATGCTGAATAAGACAGGAGATTTGGTTGTTTGTGAAGGAAATGATGGCACTTTGAAAAAAATGCAGCCTTTGCCAACTGTGTCCTTTAGTAAAGGCTGTGATGACCAATTTATGTTGACAATTTGGCAAAATCAGAAAAATATCATTTGCATAATAATTTGGAACGCAGTATAAATTATATACTGAATCGTCGTTCAGTACATGATGGATGGAACAATTCTTCAGGGTCAGTTTTAATTGGGTGGACTTTTTCTTTGTGGTAGTGGGGACATTTGGTGATTTTTTTGCACTTTTCTCAAGATTTGTCTCCGCTCAATTTCATTTCTCCCCAGCAAGTAGGTCAAGAATCGAAATACACTAGATGGTTCACAAAAACCCCAGAAGTGCAAGTTTGGGCACCAGCCAATCAGCGAAGAGCCACACATTCAGTGTTGTCAACGATTCCTGAGATTGAGGATTTAAAGCTGGAACAAAGAGAATGTTTGGTGAATTGAAACTTAATGAATTGGTGAAGGGGGAAGACATTATTGCCCTTCTTCCTATGGGATCTGGGAAAAGATTATTATACCAGTTAGCCCCGTTAGCAACGCATTACATACGTGACGTCAAAATAGCAGCGACTGGTTAAATGATAAAAAGTACCCGCCTACCATCAAGCGAACAAATTCTAACACCGCAAGGTCAGACAGTTTTGACGAAGTGAAACCGACTGAATGAATGAATCAGGCTAGAAGATTTGAGCTGTTGAGGGTTAAATTATGACTCACTATTAAATATTTAATTTATGTATGGCAGCTGATGTGCAGTGTACATAGTAGTGTGGTCCAAAAAATGTTTTTTAGATTCTCTAGATTAGAACCCTGCACTGGATTCCATATCTGGCCAAAATATTTGAATCCAAATTTTATGCAAATTAATTATTATTATTAGAGGCTGCTCAAGAAACTTGAAAACTGTCCTATAGTTACTATACTTTACTATAACATATTTGATTAATTTGTCATTTTATTCTGCAAACACAAACTGAAACTTGCATTAAAAGCGACTTAGAAAGTTCAGCTACACTGAGGCTTTGTTGGCGTCACAAAATATGTGCCTGTGTCTTTGACATCTGCAGTAGATCCTGTTTCTGATCTTCATTCTTTGTTCGGCTACAGTTAAAATCTTGAAGAAGCCTCACTCCCTTTCAGCAACATCAGTGACAACTTTCCTGGAATGCACAGTTTGAGCAGCCTTCTGAAATTTCTGCATCATCAGCCGAGTCTTCTGTTCAATATGTTTTTGGCAGATCAAGAGCTTTGAAGAAGCACATCGTTCTGGTGGTGACAAACTCACTGATCTGTTCCCTTCATAACTGCTTCATTAATTGAATCACGTCGCTTTGGTGGAACCTCTGAACCTTCCTTTTCCATAATATTGTGAAGCATCAGCTTCTTCTGTTCTTCTGTCACACTGGAGTGGAAGAATGCCAGGCACATGTACAAAAGATATTGGCTAAAAGATGGTAAGGCTGCTTTCTTCACAACTGAATTTTCATACTGTGACAGCTTCTTAAGGAACACCAAATCATTTGCAGGAGCTTTCCCTGGTGATGGGGCTTCAAACCATCCCAAACCAGATAACTTCATGTAGCTTGAGCAACCTCTAAAACATCTCCTTTTTCATCCACATTTTTTCCTAAAGGTGATTCTTTTTTTTTCCTATATCACCCAGTCCTATTCACTATTATCGTTTATATTTTCTTCACCAAAATATCATGCTTCAGAATTTGTTATCAAACTTCATAGGTGAATCACAATCTGACAATATTAACAAAATCATAAAGGGAAGGCGATCACAATCCAATTAATCCAATTCTTCCTGCACTGTTAATGAAGAATATGTACAACTTAATTAACAAAGTTTTGCTTCCAAGTTCCAGTGGACACCTGATCAGTTTGCAGACAACGTGCTACTTCTTTAACGGTCTCACTAAATAAGTAGAACAGTGCTGGGTCCCTGTGCCATCTGTTTGTGTGGACAGAGAGGTAACACGGGGCCAGCACAGCGGTCATGCACACATCATGAGGCTCCTTTGATGCTCCTCTGGGCTCGTGTTGTCATTTTGGCACAGGCAGGAAATGGTGATGCCTGGGGTCCTCTCTTCAATACAGAAAGTAAAAAGCTCTAGAGAGGCTCACTGCCACTGTATTCTTTAAGCTTTATCTGTCGGGCACTTTTTATTTTACGTTGATAGACAAAAATATGAACTTTTAAAACACTTTTGATCAAAAAAATTATCCAAATAAATAAATGTAGAAGATTAGATGGTGATGTTTCCGTCCATATGAGACACAGGATTTTTTCAGTGGTTGTAGCCTAAATCATTAAGCCAATACAGTAAACTCTTGACTTCTTACATACAGACTACATTAAAGGAGTAAGAAACAATGCTAATATAAAGAAGTTAAGTCAAAATAGAAAAGAACTAAAAATCGTGAATCCAAAATTGAAAATCAAATCGACTCGTGACTTAAGTGAATGGTTCTATCCCTCGTATTTATATAAAAAACAGATGATTTGGTCGACAAAGACACCATCAACCAATTAATCAACTAAATGACTAAACGACCTAAAAAAATATACTGTAAACATTGCTAATGCTCACAGTACATACAAAAGATAAACCACAATTATTACAACTTAGGCTTATAATACAATCATGACTATAACTACATATTTGAAGTTATAAAGCAAAAAAAATAAAAATCAGTTAAAATCGCAATTGTTACAGCAGTATATAATTTTTTCATATTTTTTCCACATTCCAAAGATATTTCACAGTCCAAGTAATGTTTGTGAGAGAAAAGAGTGGACTTATCTATAAAACAATAGTGATGTAGCACACACAGGCTTCATTAGCAGATGGCGTTCTAACAAACAGTCATAAGACCAGTCCCTGAAGCCCACAGGGGAGTAGAGCACTGAGCAGTCACTCAGCTGAGCTGGATATACTCACTCTTTGAGAACTTTTAAGATTTTGATTTTCCACAAACAGGATATCTCCAGATACGAGGAAAACATGTCTAAATCAAAAATAGCTTTTACTGATAACAAATGTACTGCTGATTTATTCTTAACTACAAAAACACCGGACATGATGGACGAGTTGTTTGTGTTTTGGTTCTAATAATGTTTATCCAAACAGAAAGCAGAATGAGTCTCATGTGAGTCTCTCGTTTAGGTTGCCAGGTTCACTGCTGAAATCCAGTTGGTTTAATGATGGAAGGACGCCAGCATAAACTGGGGTTGAGCTTAATTAACTTCAGTACTGAAGTACAATATTTCTATGTAGTTCCTCATCACAAACATGTACTTCTGTATGTCCCTCAGTTCCTCAGTTCCACCTTGTGATGTCATTAAGGCATAATCCAGGGAGTAGATCTTCATAGTCATTCTGATCATTTCAGCTCAAACTTGTTTTACCAAATGAAACTCATGCTGGATGCACAGGTAGAGGGCAGAACTGTGTGTCACTGGATTCTGTCAGGCGTGAGTATGGACTGGATGGTTCTTGTGACTGTCTGATAAAGCGTGCTGTGTATGGAGCACTTACTTTGGTCTGCATAGTTCTTGGTCTTGGTCTCCAGCTGTCGGGCCTGAGACTCAAGAGAGATGACTCTGACCTGCAGCTCCTTCTTCTCCCCCTCCTGAGAGTCCTCCATGGCCATGTACCTCTGCAAACACACACAAGCAATACTAAATTAAAGGTTTGAGACATGAAAGGTTTGACTTTTCTTGTGTTTGTTATACTTTAAACTAACAATCAAATAAATAGCTTAAAAATAAATATGCTCACTTTATTCTGTAAACTGTTGCATTATGTCAGAGGAACACTATGTAACTTCTCTGGTAGAGGGTCTGCCACCTAAGACATATTGTGCTTGTGTCTGCAATAGCTATAATCTAGTAATCATTAGAAAACTGCGGTGGCCAGTGGGAGCCGATGTCGCTATTCAACTCCAGTGAATAGTTTGAGATCACGCTACCGACAAGCAGATAAAAAATATAATTCTAACAAAATGACTGTGCAATTTTCACCCATTAAGAAAATAAAGTTGGAGAAGGATACAAGTATGTCATAGTGGGTGTGTACAAGCGGCGCATGCAATGGCAACTTGAATACGGGAGAATAAAGATGACTCAAAAAAGCATGAATCACTCCAAATACAACGTCAGAGGGTCAATGAGAGGAGGAAACAACTATAATATGGTTAAAAGCTCTTGTGCAGAATAGGTCTGCTTTAATGCATTGCCTGAAATGTCCCCCTGTATAGCATTTAACCCGTCTGGCATATGTGATTCTTGTGTTAAAAAAAATATCTTGACATATACAAAGTTTGAAGCTCATATATCCAAGTATACAAGTTAATGACATTATGGATCATTATGGGCAGAACAATAACATCTTCATGGAGACAAACACCTTTAAATAACATAAACTGAACAATGTAGACCAGGGGTGGGCAAACGTTTTGGCTCGTGGGCAACAAAGGGTTCTAAAATTGTCAGAAAAGAATCAGTAGAACCTAGCCCCTCTCCACTGTACCGGTCATTTAACCTGCCAATGCGACCGGTGCCCAGGCAGCTCAGATAAAACTACAGAGAAAGCTTGTTTACTTTGATCCGGCACTGAGGCAAAGCAGTAATTCAAATGAGAGTAATTCATATTCAGTGTAGGTTAACTGGATTCCAATAGTTAATGAGAATGACTTTTGTGAGTGCCAAAAGGGAATGTCTGTAAGTCAGCCAAACTACAAGTGATTGTTTTTATGTGAATTAGGGAGGAAGGGAGAAGTGATGTTTTTATTACACAATTAAAGTCAGAACACAAACCATGTCCAGGTCATAGGTCAATGTCTCATTTTATCTCCACAGGCAGCACAAAAAACAAAATTGTTACGTTATGGGTGAATACAGATTTTCAACATGACCAAGTTGGGTTTTATTAAAATGCACAAATTTTCAGTGAGGCAACAAGCTTAAGTCGACCTCTGCTGCTGTTAAACAAGACCTATTGTGCTAGCGTCTGTGCTGTAGTTATAATCGATGACAACCATGGATCGTTATGTTATAATAGGGACATTTTCAATCACAATACTTATCCAAAACCACTTAATAAAAAACAAGTGCGCTGATTTCTGCGTTAGAAAACTGTGGTGTCAAATGGGATTTGACGTCACCGTAAACGTCATCACAAAGACCTGTGTAGTTGTTGGCACCTCCGATGTACAGCTGCAGATCACACTAGAGCAGCGGAAAACTGGAGGATGAAGTAAGTTGATCAATAGTGGTATCTTGTAAATAAGCGAAAGATTGCTCAAACATGCACAAATCACTCCAAATACGACTTCAGACGTAAATGAGAAGGGAACAAGTATAACATGGTTTAAAAACTCTGTAAAGTTGATTTTGCCGAAAAGGGGAAATCAGATGAAAATCAGCTATAAAATTCAGAAAATCCCCCTGGATGGAAAGTCCTCCAGGCTGGAAAGTCCCTTGAATTGTACCCTTTATGAAACTAAATTAGTTAATCTAATCTATATACATATAAATAAAAAACATTTTTTTCCCGTTATATATATTATACTAATTACACACACAAGTTACAGTATATCTTAACATTTGTTCATGTTGAGCATAAGCAAGTATTCTGATCTGGGAAGGATGAGCCCCCTGCTTTTATCTCCTGTTGCTAGACATGACACCTGACATGAGTTGATCATTTTCATGGCAGGTAAGGGAATAATTAATATTTCTTCACAAATCAACAGTTACTATAGATGCTGTAGGACATGGGGAACATGAAAAAAATATTTAAAATACAATTTCATAGTAAACTTCTGCAAGCAAATGAGGATTATATTGATATTACATATTGAAGAAATGTGTGCCACTTCAAGAAAATCGGTAAAATGACATAAACAAGGTCCGACATTTGGTCTGGCTACATTCACATTTCATTTTATTATGATATAGAATGATGATTTTCTAACTCAACAAATCAGAGTGCATGACGCGGCTGAATACAGGCCGGAGAGAAAGCCCCCTCTCTCCTGGGCACAGCAGTTACCTATGTGCTGCCCAAGAGAAACGGGCAAACTGGGACTTTCAAGCCAGGGGGATGCTCGAGTTGGTATTCAGAATAGGTCTGCTTTAAACAGGCTGCCTAATAAATGTATTGGTTACAACGAGGATGAAACAACTATTTGTTTCAACAATTGAAATTTGAAATCTAATTTAGTAATAGAATAATCGCTATTTTGACATGACGACAGATTAAAAAAACATGACCATGATTTGCCAGATTATACAGCTGCAGCTTCCTTCAGCTCATGACATGTTTTGGAGCTTCTGTATAAACTCGTTAACAAGTATTTAATGACTAAATTAGCTGACAACTATTTCAATAATGGTTTAGTTGTGCTTAATTGATTAACTTCTTGCAGCCTTCATTTACTCTCTTCACTTTGTGTGTGTCAAATGGCACTGATTAAAAATCTGTATTGTCAAAGGTCATGAACCTTCAAATCAAAAAACAAAATCTATTTTTCCTCCGAAATCTGAAATCAGCAAGAACTATGGCCCAAAGCTGATTATCAAAAGTTTCAGATAAGACACACAAAAAATTACTTTTTATCTCACAAATATTAAATGTAACACAACAAGGCTAAAAAAAAAAAAAATCCAAAAGTAGTTTCAAAATCAAGAGCCGAAAGCTGGGCTGTTTTAACTTTGCTCAGCCCTCTCATCCGAGTCAGGTGTTTTAATAAACCTCTGAGCCTGTAACCATGGCGGTCTTGTGATGCTGCCTACAGGGGCCGAGTGGGGCTCCTCACAGGGAGGAGGGGCCATTTCTGCACAGGGATGAGCATCACCTGAAAGCCCCAGTGTCATAGAAAGAAGTACAAGCTCAAAACACTTGGCCTTGGGGCCACAGGTGATGCTAGCCAAAATATAGCCACTTTATTTTTTATTCGAACAATACCATCATTGAGAGCTTTTTGTATACGCCTCAAGGACAAACTGTGGAACTCTTGGGAATCTCAGCAAACAAGAAGAGCAAGCAGAAAGCATTCAACACAAGAGAGGAACTGTATAGAACCTGAGCACTCTTAATTTTTAAAAAGTACTACAGTCACAACTGACCCTGTGTCTCCAAAGCCTTAACCTGCAGATAGAGGGCGACTGTGATTCACTTAGTCCACTGATCCGAAGGCTGGTGGTTCGAATCCTGCTCTTAACATGGGCAAGACACTTAATCCACTTCGCACCCAGTGTCTGCATACACTGGTGTTTGGGTGTGTGTGAGTGGTTCCTTGTTGTAAAGTGCTTTGAGCTTTCAAGTTGGAAAAGCTATATCATAACCATTTACCATTTTATCCAAGTTTGTCTCATTCTCAGTATATGTAAAGGTTTCATGTGAAAGCTCAGAACCTCCAGAATTCCCTCACTGAGCTGCAGAGGTTGCTCCAGCACTGATGGCTGGGGTTTAGGGAGTGACCATTCAGATCAGAGAGAGAGAGACATTTGAGGTTTATATCAACTGGATTTTTGCATTGAAACTGGCAACACAAATGAGTCATGTGATACTCATTCTGCTTTCTGGTTGGATAATCGTCATGATAACAACAATCATTGAACAGTTATTGTAATTAAAATGCTATATTTGATGTGAACAGGTTTATAGCTGGGGGCACAGTTGAGTCAAGTGGAAATTTTAAAACATAAATAGAGTTCTGTTAAACTAGTAGAATACATACTGTGGAGGTTACATGGCTTATTAGTATGCATTAGTAAATGTGTGTTGGAAAGGACTAGGTTCCTGAGAGTCTCCCAGTGGGGTCTGAAAAGCTTCTGGAGAATGTGAAGAATAAAGCAGCCTGTGGTATGTATAAAGCAGATTTAGAATGTATGGTACAGTGGGACTATAGACTTTGCAACTGATGTCAGCAACATTCCCTGGGGATGTGATGCTAACTGTAGGCATCTCTCAGTCTGAAACTTTAATGTGAGATTTATTTGACCAAAATCTGACCATAAGTCTCTCAAACATAAAAAGACAGTCACAGGTGCTAGCATTAAAACCTTGACAGTGCTTGCTAATGTGAACATTACTGAACACATCACCATAGAGATACATGTAGAATACCACCAGCTTGATGTCACAGCAAAGTATAAATAGGACTTTCAATTAAACTCCGTAATTGACAGGCAAAGTATTTTATTTTGTTTTTTATTAAAAGGAACGGTATGTTGTTTTTGATTTTAAATTCCATAAACTTTCCCTCAACCTATCTGTCTCCCACAGATCAAATGTAGTGTTTTGCTGACAACTAATGCAATGCTGTAACGCTGATTTATTCTTAATCACAAAAATATTGGACATGGATAATCGTCTTGAGAACCAAAACCACAATCAGAAAGCAGAACAAGCCTCACATGGCTCCAGTTGGTTTAAACCTCAAATGAGATTCTGGTCTGTCCATATACTGAGAATGAGACAAACTTTGATGTGTCCTCTATCTGCAGGGCTTGTAATGGGCAGCAATTAAGCCAAAATAAGATGAGGCAACTTACACGTCTTTGTGCCTGTAGGGAAATTTGTCTTCTGCATTTGACCCAGATTTCAATGCCACAAGGGCAGCCTGTCAGGAGTCAGTACCCATCTCCAGAT